TCTTATAGTGGACAAGGCCAAGTTTCTCCAAGGGGATTCCAAGTTCTGTCCCACTTTTTCCTATCACCAAATAAAGCAGCACAAAAGGAAATTTGGTGGCAAACACCAGAAAGGACAGAAAGAAATTAGGTATAACTGCCAAAGTTATGACATTAGCAGAAGTCTCTGCTGAAGACTTAGCTCAATTAGAACTGCAAAGCCACCAGGGATTTTTAATTATTAAAAAGTAAACCGTATGCTAGAGTAACAGAAGACAACCCAGTAATCAGGAATGGCAGAAAATGGTAGTTCTTAATCTGTTTCTACTCTATTTTTTGATACGCTCAAGACCTTTCCATAGCAGAAAAAGCTGTATGTAAAACAAAATAATCCTGAGGAAAGACGTAGCTAAACTTGCCCCCAAAACCAAATTCCTGTATTTACAGATTCACCTAGGAGCCTCAAAAAACTATTTTGTGCCTTAGTTGTGGTGTATATGTGTGTGTATGTATGGTTTAGATGAAGAACTAATACCAGCTTTGTTACTGACCTATTTTGACAGGCTACTTCTTTGGGCCTTGATTTGTTTAACCATTAAAAAAAAAAAAGAATAATCAGATTTGTCATTAGCTAATCAAAACAGACTTAGAAATCCCTATGAGAAATGAGGCACCATTATTCATAAGGACACTAACTCTCTTTGGCTTGATGACTCTCACAGAAAGCATTCAGAGAAAAAGGCACCCAGAGCTCAGCACATGCCCAGGACTCCAGGGAAACTGATGTGGCCAATGATAGTGACAGGGATAGTGAAATTATAACCTGCCCTTTCCCAAAGAAGTTAGAAACATTGAAATATACACTGATGCAGCCATTCATGTGGGGAAAAAAAAAGAAAAGTTGTACAAAAGTGTCTTAAATTTATAAATCCTAGACATTTCACAGAAATAAAAACCCTAAAACATGACACTATTCTATTATGACAGCCAATGTAAACGCAAAAGGAAACACAAGTCTGAGTTTGCAAATACTCATACTAAATCAAAAACCATAGTAACAGCTTAGCCTACCAAAACTCAATGCTGAGATCTAAAATCACATTGGAAACTGTGGTTTATGAATATTTTTCTTAACTTAAAAAAAAAGTACAGGGCTGGCCCTGTTGCTAGTAGTTAAGGGAACCAGATGCCACAGGGCATATTGCAACTTGAATTCTGGCCCTGGTAACTTGAAAAACACGCCAGGCACGTCTGCATGTGTGCCCCGAATCCCAACAGGACAGAGAAATGGAGGAAAGGGGATTATCCCTTTCCCTCTCTCTCTTTCTTTGGTGAGTGTACATGCCCTCTGCAATTAAAAATTTCAAATTTAATTTAATTTAAGAAGTACATTGTATGGTGGCTCTGTAACAGTGGTTAAGACAGTCAGATTCCATAGGGTTCACTGCAGCTGAATGTAGCTTGAAAAACATACTGGGCAACTGTGATGCGTGTGCAAAATCCTGAGAGATGGAAAAAATGAGGAAAAGGAACTGCCACGTGACCATGTCCCACTGAGGAGTTCTCTCTCTCTCTCTCTCTCTCTCTCTAGTGAGCACACATGTCCTCTGGCAATTAAAAAGAAATGCATTCTAAATGAAAAGAGTAGACAGCTATGTATTAGGGAAATTTACTAAGTATTATATTGTTTGGGTGCTAATATGCTAATACACACAGAATTCAAATGATAATATTATAAATTTGGAATTACAAAAAAATTGACCTTAAAGAAATATGACAAGGTGTGCACTCACCAGAGAAAAAGACGGGAAGAAAGTACCCCCCAGTGGAGAGTGGTAATCCCTTCTCCACTTCTCTACCCTGCTGGGATTTGAGGTATGCACACATAACATACCTGGCGTATTTTGCAGGTTGCCAGAGCCAGATTCAAACCATGGTTGACTATGTGGGATCCAGCTCCCATAGCCCCTGGTCTATGAAGCTAGCGCTCTTCTAACCCTCAAAATATCTGACCTTTAAAAGGGAGATCAGCACAAATCAGCTCTATCTAAAAGATTCTAAGTGGCACATATGAAAATTTTCAAATGCTGAATGCTATAGCTTCTCCCTTCTTAAGTTTTTTACAGTCTTTTCTTGGTATACCCAAGACCACCATTCAAGTTCAAGCTCTCATTCTCACTGCACTAAATTATACTGTAACACCTTCTCACCCTTCTCATCACTTCCCCTCTCCAAGCCACTCAACCTACATACCACTGCCAGATTCATGCCTCTGACGTACAGATCTACTATCATTCACCTGCTTTAATAATTATTTTTATTATGTTTACTTTATTTACTTATTTATTTATTTGACCAGAGAGGGACAGAGAGAGAGCCACCAGGTCCAAGACTCGAACCATGGTCAGTCCAATGCCCTACACCACCATGCCACCTACCAGCCCCAACTCACTTGCTTTATAAAAAGGGAAGTGGGAGAAGCTTCAATACTTTCCCCTAGTTAGCTGCAACACCCTTTTCTAGCACTCGGGACTCTAAATATAGTCCCCAGCTCCTTTCTCATCCTATAGTCAAACCAAACTGCGCTGTCTGCTTCTCTACACACAGTCTGTGTTTCCCGTCTCTGGCTTTGCTGCCATGGTTTGCCTCCCTTCCCCTGTCTCCCTCAAAGGCTCATCTAAGCAGAAACTCACTAATGTTTTCCACGATGCCCTCGAGAAGATGCACTCCACCCCTGCTCAGGAACCCTGGCTTAGCAGCTTGCTTTAAGAGCTGGGATGGAGCATGCCTTCCCCCTGCAAGTTCCTTGACAGCAGGGTGTGTGTCCTACTTATCCTTGAAGTTCGACTCAATCAGGAATTTGGATTCTCCTGAGAAATAAATGTCTAAGGAACTTATTGAGACAGGAAAGTCACAATATTAAAGACACCAGTTATAGAAATACCATTAAAATAAAAGGCTTAAAGTATCATATCTATAACAAATTATGGTTCAATTTACCATTTCATCTCTTTGTAACCTTTCATATAAGAGAGAAATTGGACCTCACTTATGCAGCACAATCTGCTCCAGGGACTGTTTTTCATACAGTTAACCGTTTATAAAGTAAGGTTTCTGAGAAAAGACCTTGCAGAGAAGAAATGCTTCACATCAGTTCACAGGCGGCTATTGACCTGCATGTCCAGGCCTTTCAGCAGAAGCCAAGGACGGTAAGAAGGTGAGTGAGCATGGAAAGACACTGGGAAGGCAGACATCATGGCCTTGGGGAAAGAACACTGCGAGGCAGGAGCCGTGCTGCTGTGCACACGCGCCAGCTCAACAAATGCCTTTGCCCGGCCTCAGTCCCCTCACTTGCAAAACCAGGAAACTGGGCTGGATGGACACCACGATCCAATTCTGACATTCTAGAACTCTATACATGTAACACACAGCTTCACTGAATTATTTCTATTTTTCAGCTTGTAGATTTTTGTTACAGGGTGCATGCGCTTGCTAGAGAAAGAAAGAGAGAGACGAAGAGAGCGCTAAAGTGAGAAATCACCCCTCAAAGGGGATGGCTATGCCACAATCTCTTCTCTATTCTCCTCTTGAGATTTTGGGCATACATGCCTATGCACCTAAAGTGTTTTCCAAACTGCCTGGTTGGGCACTCGAACTGCAGAGTCTGCTATGTGGACTCCAAAGCCTTAACTACCATGCCACCTGCTGGCCCACTGGATTAGTTCTAATGAGAGATGGGAAAAAAGAAAAAGTAACTCCCTGCATTATTTCATCTCTGAATTTTATTTTAAAAAATAAACAAAAGAAAGATGATCCCACACATCTTTAATCTAGAAAGACTCATACAAGTCAGGGTTATTTCCGAAGAAGTCTCCAAATGAAACAAAAAACAAAAATTAAAACAAACAACCAATCTCTAAAGACTAAGAAAAATAAATATAGGAGAAAAACAAAAATACCTCATCAAACCTCATGTCACTAAAATCACTGTGAAATAACACTTTAAAAATGAATGTTCTGTTAGAAATTTAAGATGCCAAATTTAGTTATAAAAAAATTGAAGTAAAAAAAAAAAACAGTGAGGTAAACATTAGGAATGAGATGAGTGATAAATCTTTTTTTTTTTTCCAATTGTTTCTGGATCTTTTGTCTAACAAAAGATCAGATTTAAGCTGTAGGGATATGAAAAGCAAAAACTTCAGAATTCCTTGGACGAAAAGAAATTAGCATATTAGGAGTATAAATACCTCTTAGCCTAACTTAAATTCTCTGACACAGATTTTACTGTATTTGGGCTTTTACCTGGGAGTGTTCTCAATCAGTCAATTTTACAACTTGAATGATATGCATGAAGTCTTCTAGAAGACTGTCTGAAGTTTTGTTTCTTTTGCCTTAAAGACTTCAGACAGGCAGGTTTGAGTGTAAGCAATCACTCTGGGTCTCCTCAGCTTCCTGCTTAGATTCCTGGACTCATCGTGGTCCCAGTGGCTTGACAGTGGCAGTAAGTAGGGCTACCATAGCTTAGTTGGGACAAAAGTAAATTATATAGCACTTACAAAGAGTTTCTGAAAGTGCTACCTTTAAGTGCTTGAGAGGGCCAGCAGGTGGCATGGAGGTTAAGGCACTGGATTCCCACAAGGCCAACTTCAAGGTTCAAGTCCTAGACCTGGAGGCTTAAAAATCAGGCCAAACACATGTCTGTGCATACCCAAAATCCCCTAAGAAGAGTGGAGGAGGCGGGGTGGTGGTATGGCTGTGACTCCTTGGGGGAGCGTGATTTCTTCCTTTACCTCTCTCTTTTCTCTCTCTGACAAGCAAATGTGCTCCACAATAAAAAAAAACTAATAAAAAAAATGCTGGAGGGGAAAGGATATTTTCTGAAAAATACTAATGATTAATTGAAATGAAGCGCTAGCTCCCTTTCTCTCCATACCCCCAAATCAAAAACAAACAACTTTATCACAAACGGGACTTGGGCTCTTCATGACACTTGCTAACTCTGGCCTCACCGCTCCATCTTACCATCTGCTGCCTTGATCACGTAGCCGCCCTTCCCTTGTCCGGGAGGCACATCGAGCAGCTGCATAATTCTGTCCAACAGCCCGTGGATTATCTCAAACCCGGGGTTCTTGTTGTAGTACACGGCACAGAGATGCCTGCAGTTTTTTGCACCTACATCTGGAAGAATACAGAATTGGTCACTAGGTCACATTAACTATTACTGAAGAAATTTCATTTACCGCAACACAAACTTGGGCACCACCAACGAAAAACAAAACTGATTACTAAACATATAGAGAAGGCTGCAACTTCGGAAATACAAGATAAAACAGTTTTTTTCAACCATCAAATTCTCTAAAGTGTTTTATGTGGGGGGAGGAGTGAAAAACCTACAAAGTTCTCCAAGGGATAGAAGGCTTCATTATATTATAAATTGGTAAAACCCTACAATTTAGCAATATATTTCAGAGCCTTAAAACTTCATACTCTCTTATTGATGATTCTATCCAAAGGAAATAATCCTAAATACAAAAAAAAAAAAAAGGTTTATGCAGAAAGACATTTACCACAACATTACTTCCAAAAACGAAAATAAAGAATACCATAACTTGGAGAATGGCTATGTAAGTACAGCACCATCACTGTCACAATGCTATGCGACTGACAGAACGCATCTTTATAAAGGGTTATTGTAACAGACCCACAGCAAATACTTACAACAGTAAATGGAAAAATGGGAATCCACAAAGTTATAGAGTCGAAACTACGGGAACCAGCAGTTAGCGTAATGGCTATGTCCCTGGACTCCCACGTAGTCGACCGCGGTTCATGTCCCGGACCCAGTGGTTTAAAACTCACGCCAGGCGCGTGTGCGTGCATGCCCAAGATCCTGAGAGGAGAATGGAGGAGAAGGGATTGTGGCGTGACCATCCCCCCTGGGGGGTGATTTCTCGCTTTCTGTCTCTATGTCTCTCTCTGTCGGTCTGGCGAGTGCACGCGCCCCATAGTGAAAACCTCTCCAAAAAAAAATAAAAAGAGTCGAAACTAAATTATATTATTTCAAGACTATGTGTAGGGGCCAGCATGTGCCATTGGTGGTTAAGGTGCTGACCGACCATGGTTCAAGTCCTGGGCCTGGCAGCTTGAAACTCAATGTCAGGTCCATGTGCATGTGTGTCCAAAATCCCAGGAGGAGAATGAAGAAAGGATTGCAGGGTGGCCACTCAGGGGAGTAATTTCTCACCTTCCCTCTCACCATCTCTCTTTGTCTCTCTGACAAGCACATGAGCCCTATGGCAAAAAACCTTTAAAAAAAAAAGTGTATAGGTTAGAAAACAATGAAGCGAAGCAATGGAATGGCGATCAAAATTGGGCTAATGATTATCTCTGGCAAACGGAAGAGGAAACCATATAAGAAGCTTAGAATACTGGCAATATTCCATTTCTTGCTTTTTTAACTTTTAGTGATTTTTGACTTAGAGTACATGCACTCATTGGGAGAGAGAGAGAGACAGACAGACACAGTGAGAGGGAAAGTGAGGAATCACCACCCCCCGGGGGGGATGGCCACACCACTATCCCTTCTCCTTCATTTTCCTCCCAGGATCTTGGGCATGTACATGTACCCAGCGGGAGTTTCAAGCCACCAGGCTTGGGACTCAAGCCGCTGTCAGCCATGTGCGAGTCCAGTGACATTAACCACTATGCCATCTGCTGGTCCCACAATATTCCATTTCTTAATTTGGGTCATGGTTACACTATGTTTGCTTTATACTCATTTAAAAACCATATTTGTTAAATAACATTCTTCACAGTTTAAATGGAAAAAAAGCAAAACACTAAAGTATATGAAGCTATATGCTCTAATATGGATAAATCTGGAGGACAAACGTGAGTGAAGTAAGCCAGTGAAATAAGACAAATACTGCACGACTCGTTACTTGAGGTGTCTAATGTCAACGTCATAGAACACTTAAAATGTTGCCCAAAGGGTAGCTCTCATTATATATTTTTTACTGTAAAAATAATAATAATATACTTTTTAAAAATAATTATTTATTTAATTTGCCAGCCGCTGGTCCCAATAATATACTTTTTTAAAAAGTATATGGGGTCAGCCCCAGAGGGTAGCAGTTAAGCACAGTGCACAGGGAGCCAGACCTCTCATGGCTGATTATAGTTTGAATCCCAGCCTGGTGACTTGAAAAACATGCCAGGCCCAAGTACATGCTTGCTCCAAATTCTGAAAGGATAGAAAATGTAGGGAA